ATGGGGAGGTGACGGGGGTAATAGGGCGGTGATGGGGAGGTGATTATGTGGGGTGATGAGGTGTGATGGAGAGGTGATGAAGTAGGTAATCGGAAGGTGATAGAGAGGTGGAAGGGGGTAATAGAAGAGTGAGGGTGATGGTGACGATGATGGAGAGGTGGTGGGAAGTGATAGGGGGTAATGGAGGTGGTTATATAGTATGATGGAGGGGATGATAGGAGATGATGGAGGGGGTGATAGGGGATGATGGGGTGGGGGAGGTTATGCAAAGGTGATGGAAAGGGGCGATGATGGAGGGTGATGCAGAGATAATAAAGGGGTGATGGGGAGGATAATGTGGGGTGATGAGAATGGGTGGATGGACAGGTGATAGGGGGTGATGGAGAGATGAAGGGGTATAGAGGACAGACCCCTACTGTAATCCATCCTCTGTACACACACAGATATGTGATCGACAAAAGCGCCGCCCTGGCTGATCGATGCCACAGGGCTGCACTAGATGGAGAGCGCTACAAAGCGATGGAATGGAGGACCTTCTTGTGATCTGATTGGTCACATCAAATAATCCGCGTAATGATCAGTTATGTTTGACCATCACAAGAATGGTGTCCGGGCACCAGGGCTCTGCGTTTTTGAATTTTTAGATGGCGTTGGGAATGGTCAAAGCCCCCCGTGGAGAAATTTTCCTTCACTTCCTGTTCTGGAGAAACAAAAGGAAGTGAGAGAAAATCTCTCCAAACGGGAAATCATTTTGTAGTTGTGACCGGAACAAGTGTCCCTGTTGGAAGTTTTAACTTCACTTCCTGTTGACCAGTGTATGCTTTTTCGATTTCCCATCACTATTTGCCTTCGGGACAATGAAAGGCAATTCTCCCAATCAGGGACACCTGGCAGGGTTCCTCTACCCTTCTCCTCTCTCCTCCGTCTCCCTTCTCCCATTCTCGTCTCTCTTTCCCCCTCCATCTCTCTTCTCCCCTCCATCTCTCTTCTCCCCTCCATCTCTTTTCTCCCCTCCATCTCTCTTCTCCCCTACATCTCTTTTCTCCCCTCCATCTCTCTTCTCCCCTCCATCTCTCTTCTCCCCTCCATCTCCCTTCTCCCCTCCATCTCTCTTCTTTACTCTAACTTTCTCCTCCCCTCGCATTTCCTCTCACCTACGTCTCCACCCTCTGCCTCTCTACTTCCCTCCATCTCTCTTCTCCCCTCCATCTCTCTTCTCCCCTCCATCTCTCTTTTCCCCTCCAACTCGATATTCTCTTCTCCCCTCTGCCTCACCTCTAACCCTTGCCTCTCCCCACTGTCTCCATTCTCCCCTAGGTTTCTCCTCTCCCCTACATCACTCTTCTCCCCTCCATCCCTTTCACCCCCCAATCACATTTCTCCCCCCTCTCTCTCTCCTCCCCTCTGTCTCTTATCTTCCCTCCGTCTCTCTTCCCCCCTCCTTCTCTCTTCTCCCCCAATCTCTCTACCTCTCTCTTCTACCCTCCATCTCTCTTCTACCCTCCTTCTCTCTTGTACCCTCCATCTCTCTTCTCCGTCTCTCTTCTCCCTCCATCTTTCTCCTCCCCTCGCTTCTCCTCTCACGTTGGTCTCTCCCCCTCTTCCTCTCTTCTCCCCTTTGCCTCTCTTTTCCCCTCCAACTCTCTTTCTCTCTTAGCCTCTCCCCTCCGCCTCTCCTCTAACCTTCGCCTCTCCCCACTGTCTCTCTTCTCCCCTCCTTAACTCTTCTCCCCTCCTTAACTCTTCTTCCCTCCAACTCTTTTTTTTCCTCCATCTCTTGTCTCCCCTCCGTCTCTCTTGCCCCCTGCATCTCTTTTCTCCCCTTCGTCTCTCTTCTCCTTTCCTTCTCTCTTATCCCCTGCATTTCTCTTCTCCCCTCCATGTCTCTTCTCCCCTCTATCTCTCTTCTCCCCTCCATCTCTCTTCTCCCCTCCGTTTCTCTTCTCCCCCCTTCTCTCTTCTCCCCCAATCTCTCTTCTCTCTCTGTCTCTCTTCTACCCTTCTTCTCTCTTCTCCCCTCCGTCTCTCTCCTTCCCTTTGCCTCTCTTTTCCTTTTCAACTCTCTTCTCCCCCCAATCTCTCTTTTTCACTTCGCCCCACTGTCTCTATCTCTCTTCTCCCCTAAGTTTCTCCTCTCCCCTCCATCTCTATTCTCCCCCCATCTCTGTTCTACCCTCTATCTCCACTCCATCTCTCATCTTCCCTCTGTCTCTCTACTGCCTCAATCTCTGTTATCCTCTCTGTCTCTGTTCTTCCCTCCGTCTCTCTTCTTCCCTCCATCTCTCTTCTCCCCTCCTCATCTCTCTTCTCCCCTCTGTCTCTCTTCTCCCCTCTGTCTCTCTCCTCCCCTCCATCTCTCTTCTCCCCTCTGTCTCTCTCCTCCCCTCCGCCTCTCTTCTCCCCTCCATTTCTCTTCTCCCCTCCGCCTCTCTTCTCCCCTCCTCGTCTCTTTTCTCCCCTCCGTCTCTCTTCTCCCCTCTGTCTCTCTTCTCCCCTCCTGGTCTCTTTTCTCCCCTTCATCTCTCTTCTCCCCTCTGTCTCTCTTCTCCCCTCCTCATCTCTTTTCTCCCCTCCGTCTCTCTTCTCCCCTCCGTCTCTCTTCCCCCTCCGTCTCTCTTCCCCCTCCATCTTTCTTCTCCCCTCCATCTCTCTTCTCCCCTCTGTCTCTCTTCTCCCCTCCGTCTCTCTTCCCCCTCCTCGTCTCTCTTCTCCCCTCCGTCTCTCTTCTCCCCTCTGTCTCTCTTCTCCCCTCCGTCTCTCTCTTCCCCTCATAGTTGTATTGTTTCCATTATTTTGGGCCACTCTGAAGGCAATTAGCTGAGCCGGGTAATTGTTGTAAATAAATAACTTCCTCGGCTCCTCTTTATTTTTAGATGTGTCAGGCTACCGTTTCTATTTTGGTGGATCGCTTATCTCCGAGAGATGGCGAGAGAAATCCACATTCCTTTCTCTGATTGCTGGAAGTCGCTTTGGCCAAAATTCCTCCTCGGAAATGCCGATTCTCCATGATGTGCCGGGAGAGCGGAAGTCTCCATTCTATGATTGATCCAACTGGGTACAGGTTTGACCAACTCGTCTCCGTCACTGATCTCCATAGCTGATACCTGCGGGGAGGGGTTGCACAGTTGTACCGGCTCCTCTCCTGGACTGAAATGGCTTCATCTGATATCACTGCACACTGGGAGCTTCTCACAATGTACATTAGAAGCTACAGTAAGTCACATAGAGCCCGCCTCATTTCCTGGCTGGAGGACGTCCAGCATCATCTAGCTTTTTCTTCCCCAGCCTGATTGTACCTTGCCCCGCCCCTTTTATTGATTGGATTTCAGTTCTTTCAATCATGGAGGCTCAGCATCACATGTGGGCACTACCTAGGGCGGTCTGTATGCAAATACAGCCTGCCTAGGAACGCCCACTTTTTCATACTGACACCCATCCATCAAGGCATTTTGATTTTTGCATAACTCCTCCCACTGCTTGCATCAGGTCCCTTGAGAAGAGTGTTGAGGCAGGGTGTGCATACAATGAGCTGCTATTGCCAACTGGCGTTTAAAAGATAGAATTCTACAACCACCGACAAGCATGCACCCAGTGAAGTCACCTCCCCTGGCCCTCGTGCTGTTTCCAGGTCAGGAACTCACTAAACAGTGAAGTGAGGATGAAGATGACAGCCCTAGAGTCTCCACCTGTAATACAAGTCGGCCTAGGCAGCTCCCAAAGTCTCATTTATCCTTAACAGGTTCCTTTAAATACAGATGTGCGCCGGGAGAAATGGGAACAGCGCAGCTATGAACGCCATTCCAATCGTTCTTCATAATCGTCCATTAATTTCTCCTCTACACATGATGAAATGTGATCATTAGGAATAATACGGCCCCAACCTGAACACTGCATCCGATTCTTCTCATCAATTCATTTCTCTTCTGCTTGGAAGATGAAGAGGACAACCAGTGAAATGCGATTCCAGAATTGCGCCGTAGCTCAGGGCGCAGTGATCTGCCGGCATGGAATTATACGGGATCACAGATGCCAACTGTCCCGCATCTCGGTCCCCAGTCCCAATTATGCTCTTGTCCTGGGATCACAGCGTCACCATTATTTGAATTAGTAAGCATGCAACTCAGGGGAGGGTGACTGTGAGTGGGCGGGTCCTGCACATTTAGGGGTGGGACCTTGTCAGAACATGGGTGTGGTCTGGGTGTGACTGCCCTAAAAGTGGGTGTGTCATGTAAGGGCAGGGGGGGGGGACAATCTCCCATCTGTTGGTCAATATGCACAAGGGGTTCAGATCCTCCAAAATGCAATCTGTTTAGGAAGAATTCCAGACAAAGGCTCCACACACCGCTGTGCTCTTTACGCCTTTGTAGTGGGTGTAGCCAGTAGGCTCCGCCCACTTCAGGCTGCCTGGAGAAAACTACAGGAGGGGGCGGAATCAAGGCCAGTCACCATTCACAAAGAGAGAGAGCAGCAGTGACCGTTTTTTATTACAGGAGGGGGCGGAGACAAGACCAATCACCCTGCACAAGGAGAGAGCAGCAGTGACCGGTCATCATTACAGGAAGCTCCAAGTCTCACACTGGATTACTGCACAGAAGATGGCAGGCCGAGATGGAGGGCCGAGGTTGCTTACCGCTGGGTCATGGAAGCTCAGCAATACATGCGGGTGTTACCTACATGCAAATACACCCTGCCTAGGGACAAAGCTCAAAATACACAAAGCTCGCCAAGATTAAAGAAGAACACACGTGACTCTGGTATTTAGGCAACATTTACTGATCTTGGATAAGATTTAACAGGAAAACTTATATCTAATGCTGAGCTCCGCTTTAGTACCTCGCTGCTGATTGGCTGTTTTGTAAACTCTTCCTGCTGAACATGTCTTTGAGCTAATGGTGACCTGTGGATCACAATCTCAGCAAGAGTCTGCTGTCTTTCAACACTTACATTTCTACCCGCCACCCCAGCC